GGCGGCCCCGGCTCCCACCCCCGCCCCCGGCTCCCACCCGCGCCCTGATGCCCGGTCCCCTCTGACCACCCCGCGTCCTCCTTGCAGCCCCGAGCCCCAGCGTTGTAGGAAGAACGAGACAACTCAAGTGGACATCAAAATAGTTTTATACAGATTATTGGATCTCGGTATACAGGTAAAAAACAGGGCCCGGCTGAGGGCAGAGCCAGGACTCGCCTCGCCCCGCCCCAGCCCGCTTCCAGGAGAAGGCTTCAAGTCCCTTTTAAAAATGTACATTTGAAGGCACAGTGCACGGACCAACATGCTCCAGGGACAAGCGCCCACAAGGGACCAGCTCCTCGCCAGTCGCTGCACAGGAACTCCTGCAGATGGACGGAGAGACTGATGGTGAGAGGAGGCTGCTCCTGCCTTCGCAAAACTGGCAGACAAATGGACCCAGCACTTTCGTGCCGTGGCTCCAAGCACAGAGCAAGAGCCAGATGCCCCACCTGGTCCTGCTGCGTAGAAAAGTCTCACACATTTGCAAAACATCTCAAATCCACTCACCTTAAAAATATGCACCTAATCCACACTAATTGCAAAATGCACTCTCAGAGGGAAAAGGCTGACCCCTAAAGAGACTTATTGCTAGTGGGACAAAGCAAGGCCAGCTCCACCCAAAACCTGCTGCCAGAGCAAAGAAAGCCCAAACAGAGCACTAAGAGCAAACTCAACTTTAATGTAAAACCCCAGCTGCGTCTCTTAAAGCCCTGAGAAGCAGGAAACATTTGGAGATTAGCCAGGGCTAACGCTATTGTGCGCTGCAGCCCATTACACATGGAAAAGGATCAGGGCTGTTCACGGCTCCTGCAGAATGGAGGCAACAAAAGCAACTGTCACATTGCAGTGATGCAGGACAGGAGCACGGGGAACGCTCAGCCTCATCTCCATGTTCTCAGCACACCTCCTCAGACAGATCTTAGCACATTTATTGAAAAATAATTCCCTGTGGAATAGGGAAGAAGGTATATACTGGTGTCTAAGGGTTCTTTGTCCCTCCAGATAGCTATACAGAATCTGAGATGATGACCATGGCAGCATGACCACAGGCATGTGGTTTGGGAAGGGCATCTACCTCCCACAGAGGTGAGGAACAGCTTCTTTCCCCAGTGACATTGCCCAGCAGCCTGCAATGGGGAACCCATTGTGCTGTTTCCTCAGAGGAGAGCAGGCCAGAGCTCTGCAGAACAGACCCCATCATACAGTGGGGTGCAAACATCCCTCCACAAACATCACATGCAGGTTTCACTATAGGACCTCCCCAGGTTGCTGGAGAAGAGATCAGCTCAGGGCAAACTAGAGACCCAAGATATTGCTGTGCCAGGCTCCTGTACCCCAGAGGTTGGGTCAGCAGGGCAACAATTAAAAAAGAAAATGAGCAGCAAGAAAATAAGTGCCTATTCTAACACCAGCCTTCTGCTCAGAAAGCACAGGAGCTTTGGAAATCAAAACATTTCAGCCATTCTTTCCTTCTATATCCCACAGATCTAGTGTCTCTTGTGGATGCAGGCTGAGGTTCCTCTTTCCAGCTTCTTCCCAAGTGCCACTAAGCAGAATCTGGCTGCTTTCCCCTTCTCTTCCAGCACAGCCGTTCAGCCCTTCCTCACACTTGTGCCCATGCTCCTGCAGCAGCAGACACAACTGCAGACACACAAGCAGGTGGAGCTCTTGCTACATTTTTCAGGGATGCTGGAGCAGCAAGACCAGCAGGCAAACCTGATGCCTGCAAGCACCAGAGCTTGATGAGAGGGTGTTTCCAAAGTGCTCTGATCCCTAAATGGTATTAGGTGGACAATGGCAAATGGTGCAGCTTTTCTTCAAAATTTAAGACTGAAGTTGGGCCGTGGATACCTCCAAGACCTCTCCCTGCTGCAGATTTCACTGTTTCCTCCTGAATAGTGGTGGACTTGAGCAGAACTGGTCAGGTAGAGTCAGACTCCTTTCTACAGTGTCCACCACAATCAGTTCCTCCATTTGCTGAGAACCCTCAGTCACTCTTCCAGACACTGCACTGTTGTGACACTAACATGAGACCCCAAAGGCCAAGTCTACTACACAAATGAGAAGCAACTGGGGGTGATGGGGATAAAGTTTCTCTCTTCCCCAGAAGTCAGGAACAGCAGTGCTGCAGAGCTGGCAAGCAACTCAACGTTGTTAAGTTCACCGAAGCTCTGACATTTGCTCCTTTCTCCTGCCGACATCAAGAATGGATGTCATCTTCCCCAGTTTTCAGGATGCCAAGTCACTGCCTGGGACTAGCACCACATTAGAGGTGTTCCACAACCACTGCAGATCACAGCAGGCCACAGCATCTCATGGTGGGGAAAGCTCCAAGGAAACAGCTGAGAACCAAGTACAATCTTTTCTGAGGGCTGCTCTGCAGAACGTGGAGTCAAGTGAAGGATCTGGCTTTCCTCAAGGACAGAGTGGAAAACACAAAATCAAAACAGGTAGAGGAACTGCTTTGGAGTGTTGTAACCACAACCCTATGCAGGCTTTGAGGCACTTCCCCACCATCTGCTCGCTGTGTTGAGATGCTGGGGAAGTGCTAGGAATTGTGCTGGCCACCCTGTTAAGTTGCCTTTCAAACAATGTCACATGAACCTCCAGATCTTGACCCAAAAATGAAAACCCATGTCCTTACCCCCAACACCCACTGATTTGCACGTACATAGGAACAGAGCAAATAGTAGAGGGAAGTTGGGAGCTGCCACCCACACCTCTGGAGGACACATCCTGCAAGCTAATGTTTCAAAACTGAACCACAGGGATTGCCTCTGCCATTGGGTCTGGTTCATGGGTATCTCCTTTCCTGCCCCAGAGGTGTCAGTGTTTGCTGGAGTACAATGTTTCTTCCTCAGTGTCTGTTTCATCCTGGAATTCATGGCTCAGGAGGGACTTCTTGGAGCCGGTGGACATCATGCGGATCTCATCCTCATAATCGTCGTGGTGCTGCCGGAGGCGGTGGAAGCCATCCTTGTGTCTGTTGGACTTAATTGAGCAGACACACCAGATGATACAGGCAGTGAGGACCAGAGCGGACATACTTGCACCTACCAGAGAGAAGACACTGAAGTTAATGCCATGTTCCCTCACTCCTTGGTTTCTGAGTCCATCTCTTCCTTTCTACAGTCACAACCACTTTCCTCACTTCACTGTGACCCTGCTCATCCCCCTAGGCCACAGCAGACACGCTATGCACGAGAGCTGCTCCCACAGCGACTGCACAATCTTTATTTTCTGTGTTCGCAATATAAGATGGCATCGCTGAGCTCCTCTGCAGACACTGGGAATTAACTCTTGCCTCCACAGCAGCTGCCACCTTGACAAAAAATAAAATCTCAATGCTTACTTGGTGCCACACCACTCAAAAGAAATCTTGGGGAAGAAGCAAGACCTCTTAGGTCCCAGCTCTATGCTCTCCCCATTCCAGGCATCTTGAAGTCCATTCTGGACTCTTCAGACCCCTGCAACACACTCTATTTCCTCCCTCATTCCCATCTCCCAGCCCAGCATCACCAGTCCAAGGGTTGTTGGGCCAGTTTGCAAGGACAAGCATGTGTCCAGAAGGCAAAACAGGAGTAGGTTTAAGTCTGCAGGCTACTTTTCCAGTCCTGTGACCCTCAGAGAAGGGTCACTGCCAGCAGGAACCCGTACAGAAAGCAAAACTGAAAGCTCTGATCAACAGTGTCACTTTACCTGCAACAGTTACAACCAGCTCCCTGGGCAGACCAAATATCCTGTTTTCCGTGTCAAATACAATGAGCACAGAGCTGGGTGCATCATGACGTACAAAGACCTGCAGAAAGACATGAGAGCTCAGACTGTCTCAGAGCTTGCACCTCTGATAGGAGTCCAGGCAAGAGAGGTACTCGCTGACCAGGGCAGGACCAGGCACATGCCAGACAAGTGCAATAGAAAAGAAAAGCTACTGCCCAAAACAACCCTGCCACGCTGGGAAATTCTTCTCCATATGTTATATCAAGGCAGAAAACAGCTCCCCAGGGCACAAAATCAGCAGCTGAACGCAGTCAATGAGGCAGAACCCAAATATGGGATGCCTTCATATGACAGGGAGCAGAGGGGAAGATCTGCAATATGGACATTCACGTACCTTGACGTGTTTCTGCTGGTACCCATCTGCTTCCACATTGATGTTATGCAAACCTGGAGCCAACAGCACATGGAAATAGCCACCTTCTTTAGTATAGACTTTCAGACCTTCACTAAAAACAATGGTAGCTTTAGAAATTGCCTTGCCACTCTTGTCCTGGACGAACCCATGGACTCCTTTATGAACCTGAAATAAAGCATTTCAAACACTTCATGCTCAGATCCAAACACATGGCACATTTGTAACTAAAACAGGATCTAATCCTCCCCTCAGTTACACCCCATTCTCCATCTCTGATCCTCCTAATAAATACAAGCACACAATACAGCAAGGACTGCTCAGCCCACCATGAGGCAGCACAGTACAGATTCTTAACTCTCACGTCAACACATTTCCTGGTCACTCGCTGCCTCCGTTCAATCCATCCCTCCTCAATTACAACCCTCTAATTACACAGCACCAATATAAACACAAAGACTCTCCATACTGCTCTCTTCCTCTCCCCTTCCCTTCACTCCTTGCCAGAATTTCCTCCCACGGACCAGGGCTCACCTCCACGAGCATGCTAAGGAGAGATTTCCTGTGGTCTGCCCACAGGCCAGGGAGCTGCCCTGCGCTTGGGAAGTAACAGCAGCTGGTATAAACAGTGATCTCTGGACAATGACCAAATGTAACGCTGAAATCCTGCAAAAACCAAACCCACAGTTACAACAAAAGAGGTGGTATTGAAAAAGCTTCGGAAAGTGCACCTAGAGGTGGGGAAGTTTTGCCCAGATATTGGAACAAACAGGCTTTTTAATGCTTGTTGAACAGAGATGGAAAGCCTTGTGCTGTGAGGACGTACCTTCATACTTCCAAAGTGGCTGTGCCATTCAGAGCCCTGGATCACACCACCAGGAATATTCTCATCTGTGAGAGCAAGAACACGGCTGTCAGATGGGACTGCCTCTAGCAGAGTCCAGCACAAGCTCACGGGAGGGGGTTAAAGGATTCAACCAAACATACCTGATTTATTTGGGCAGCCTGGCTGGCCCAAATGCATCACTGGATGGTTGTTGGCATAGAGAGATGCCAAATGCTTCAGTGTTTCTTTGTTCTCCACTACAAAAAGAAAAGTGAGACTCTGAGAGTGAAACTCCTATTCACCAGAGGGAAAGGGACAGATTCCCATTCTAACCCCATGATCCTGTATGGAACAGTGACACACACTGTTGCACAGGTACTCCACCTTCACTCTGACACTGTGGGATGGTATCAGAAGCAGACTTTTTGCTGGCTTTAGCCGAGAAAAGATTGAAATACTGTTGTAGGAATGGAAGTGGTACGTGTTCTGATCTCTCGGTGAATCCTGTGAGGTTTTACAGTTTTACTTAACAGGCTGTCAACTCCACATACAAAGCACTGAACACAAAAGGAGGCTGCAGAAAGCCACCAGCACAAGAAGCTCTTACACCCTGCGGTCACATGAACTTCCACAGAGACAGCCTGAGGGTAATTGTGTGTGCAAGGCCCTGGAGAAGTCAGTCCTACCTGTCTGCGCTGGCTTATCGTACGGGTAAGTGACAAGCAGGGATCCTCCATCCAGTGCAACAGAGAGGCTGAAATCCTGCTTCAGTATCAAGTTCTCTATGATGGCTTTGGTCTCAGGCTCTCGTGTCCCCGAGTATCGGGAGTAATTGCCTGTAAATCAGAACAACAAATAGAAAAAAAAGGAATCGACAACAGCTTCCTCCACTATTTGAGAGGCCAGCAGAAGTACATTTTGTTTATGTCTGAAATTAAGTCTGCTACATGTATTAAGAAGTATGTGTTAGAGCTCAGCAGATGCACCTGATAGATCAAGTAAAGCACCCCGTCCACACTGCCTACCCATGGGGAGAATTCATCTGCAAAGCTAAACAAATATGACACATCACTATTTCCCCAAGCTATTTACTTTTGTGAGGCAGGTACTTCCTGTGTGTTTGCTCTCCTCCATGTCACTGCACTGACATTTTCTTAAGCAAGTATTTGGGATGGTCCCAGCCAAACCTGGCCAGAGGGAACGCTTCATCCCCAGGAAGGGTGAGCACAGCACTGACAGCGCTATGGGTACAGCAGACAGCTACATGGAAACCAGAAAAACACGAAAAAGAAGATCATTTCTAGGGGGCATGAACAGAGGGCATTTTTTTCAGAAATTGGGGGTTCAAAGAAACAGGAAAAATACACTAGGTGTTGTCCGACCTCTGGATTATTCCTAAAGAACACCGCTTCATCTTTTCCTTGCAAATAAAGGATTGCAAATTACCATCTGTAAGGGGGATCCAAGTTTTGGAAGGTACCCAGCAGCAGTACAGGTAGACCCTGTAACCAAGCAACTACACCCAACCCTAGAGCAGCCAGCAGGGGACTTCTACTGCAGCCTGCGTTTCTACAGGGTCACTACAGATCACTTGGCTTTGGTTTGCTTTACTTGTGAAGTCTGTGTCCAGATCTCTGCCATGAGCATTTGTCTGGCCTATCTTCGATGTGCAGCCTCTCTCCTGCGCTATCTCACGTCCGTCTGGATTCAGGGAAGGCACAATCACAATCCGTGTCCGGTCAATGAGCTGAACAAAAAGAGGGGAAACAGGACAGTAAAGTGCAATTAGTAGGGGTCGCTTTCTGTACATCTTATTTGTCTGGGTCTCATCCTAGGAACTGCTGCTTATATTGATATCAGCAGTCAGAGGTTCCCACTGGCCCCATGGATTTCACAAGACCTCCCCACTGTGTGTTGGATTGCTGCAAGTCACAAGCCACTAAGTCTCTCCCAGAGAGCACTGTCTTCTCAGGATATGCAGGCTCCAAGAAGGTCCCTTGCATTGGCTCCTCACCTTTGTAACTGCAGCGTTCTTCTTGTAGTTCATGCAAAGAAATTCTGCCAGCGTCAGGAGCAGCTCTGTACCAACGGGAGCGTTTCCGTGAATACCAGCAACAAAGCGGATCTTTGGCTCCTCGGGCTCTGACTGGTTGGGCTTGTTGGAGATTTCAAGGGACCAGATCTGACGGAACTCAACGCTCTGACCCAAACTGCCAAGAGATGAGAAACCAGAGCATCAGCTCAGGAGCACAGACACACTCCTAGCCTGGCCTTATGGAGAAATCCTGGTGCAGAAAGGAACTGCTGCCTACCTCCACGGGGAGGCTGTGAAGACAAGTGATACACAAAACACAACCACGTTACAAGAGATTTGCTGCAGCACTGAACCAAATTCACTACAAACATCAGTTTGAACACAAGCATCTGTGTAAGAAGGTATCCAGGTCCATATGTAGAGGACACCCAATGTTCCATATATCTCCATATAGCCTATAACATCAGCATAGATGTGCAACTGCTAAATGCTCTGTGCTTCCAATGTTGGTTTTGATTTGGTTTGTTTGTTTGTTTTTTCCTTCAGAGTGGGACACATCTGGACATTAAACTAATGTATAAAGCACCCAGTTTAGGACAGAAGCAGGCCTATTTCCAGTAATGGTAAAGTTGTTGCTACAGTCATGCCATTAAGTTCACAAACTGAATGCGAGCAAAGCAGTGAACACAATCGAGGCTGATGCAACTGGACGGACAATAGAGGCTACAGATCAGAAAGGCAGCCTTGGCACCAGCAGGGACAGCACATGAGCACATTGTGCCTGGTAACAACAAGCAAATGAGGCCCTGGGACAAAGAGATTTGTGCTTTCTAAAGCTGACAGAGGGTAAGCGCTACAGGTCACAAAGGAAAGCAGAGGACTGCAGACAGCTGGCCTCCTGCAGGAGGGCAGAGACGTTGGCTCAGGGCAAGCTAACTCAAATGTGTCTCTCACTCCTGAATTAAAATCTGAAGGCAGACAAACAAAAAAAGGCCATTTGCAATTTGGAAGTAAAATGTGATCACTCTTGCTGAGGACTCTTTAGCAGGGTGGGTGTCAGAAAGGATTTGGAAAATGGAGGAAATGGAGAGCATGGAACAGAGAGATTTGCACAAGCCTGGGATATCAATGGTGGGAGTATCGCCAGTCCCAGGACCCTTGGGGAACCGACAGCGTCTCAGGTTTAAGTCAGTAAAATAATGTCTCAGGAAAAAGTGCATGGATGCATCTGCGAGTCCCTGCAGTCACTGCTCTGCCACCATGCCCTTAGATGTGGGAGTCACTCAAACTCAGGGACGAGAGGGAAGGGGGGGGAGGAGCTCCCATTCTCTGCACTGCATTCACAGCTCCTTATTTCACTACTTCCCTACCACAGGCTGCTGCTCGGGGAGGAGCTGAGCACTGCTGCTTTGAGTTTTCACCTGGTGAGATTTGTGATGTGCGGGTAATTCAGATAGAGGCCTCGGAGGAACTCAGAGAGGTCTTTGTAAGGGCGGTATCGGTATGGAGAGACATCCACTGCAGATGTAAGCAGGAGGCGCTCCAGGCCATTCTCAGCAGAAAGGTCTTTGATCAGGGTCTCAAACTCCTTCTCGCTGGGGTCGCTGGTGTCTGGGGTGTTCAAGACCGGCACCTTCCCCTCGTCCACTTTGCTGTCTGTCCGTGAAAGAGTGAAGTTGACTTGCACCCCACCTTTGCTGCCAACTTCCACTGTCTTAGTGACCGGATCATACCTACCCAGGGAAGAGAAGACACAAGGAAATGTCAGGGGTTCAAGGCCTCACACAATGAGCCACCCTCCTTCCTGGCTGACATTCACACGAGACTGCTACTGCTCCCCAGCCAAAAGCAAGAAGCATAAAAACAAAGAGCAAGAACACTTCAAAGGGAAATGGGAATGGCAGGAACACAGGGAGCAGGACAAGAAGTCAGGCTGCTTTAACCCAAAGGTTTTGTGAGTGGTTGAAGTGATGAAATAATTTCTGTGGGCAGCTGCCAGCAAAACAATTTCTCCTAGAGACAGTAAGTTATCAACTCCCTCTCCATACCACCTACAAACAAGGGAAGGTTTGGATGGCACACTGGTGCCAGGTGAGTAGTATGACATTGGGGTAGCATCACATTGCTCACTCTGCACAGGCCAGAAGGCAGGAGAAACACCAGCAGTTCCTGTAGGCAAGGGTAATGGGACTACTCGTGACTGGGGAGTCAGTTTTGCAGCTGTCTGCTTCTTGTGCCACGGCTTGCTCACCCACGGGCAGATGCTGTGATTTTGTACATCCCCTGGACCAAGAGGCGCCAGTAGTCTCCATCCTTGTAGGTGGTCAGCGGGTGGTCGATGTTGGCAACGCTGATGGTGGCGTTGAGAATGCCCCTTCCGTTCGTAGCATCCAGCACAAATCCCCAAACGCCGCTGTGAACCTGAGCACAGACCCAGAGCCCTGCTGAGCGCCAGCCCTTGTGCTGCCTCCCAGCCCAACACACAGATGTGGGAGCACACACCACCCACATCCCACCAGCTCCCAGCCCAGAGGAGTGACACGTCCCAGAAGGGTTCAGGTTAGAGTTGCCAGCAGCTGGCATGGACAGAGATCACCTGATGGGCACAATGAGCAATTGTTTGGCTCAGGGTGCCACCACAGCACCCTTTGCTCCACACCTTTGTTTGCATGCCCCAGGTGCACAGCACTACCACCAGCCCCAACTCGGATGGGAGCAGCACTTTAAGGCCACTCCAGCCTAGGGAAAACCAAGGCAGTGGTAAATAAAAAGCCCACATCACTCAGCTGCTGTTTCCCTACTGTTGAGGAGGAGAGAGGAATTGTCGAGACATGTTCTGATGGGGATGGTTTCTGTGGAGCAGGTACCCTGTCTAGCCAGGAAGCAGAACATGCTTCAGCCCACAGATCAGCCTGTTCATTCTGGCACATCTAATACAAACCCCAGAGGCAGCTCACACAATTGCTTGAGGTCAAAGTATCTCACCTGCTTCATGAACTGGAGCAGAGACTGGCGGTTCTGCTCCCAGTACTTTGGCAGCTCCTCAGCTTTTGGATATTTCACACAGCCCAACTCAATGGTCACTTCAAAGCAGTTTGTATGCAAGTAATTCCAGTCTTGCATCCCACCTACAAGAGGAATGCAGAAGAAGTTTTGACAAGCTCTCCTGAGGCTCAAAAAATAATAATAGTAAAAAAATCAGATAATGGAGAAAAATGAAGTACGAACTACAGCATGCATTTCATAGCTGAAGAGAGAAGGGCTTTTACACAGGGCATCATTCAGGCATCAAAGGGATGCTAAAGCAGCAGACAAATAACCACCCTTCTTGTAAATACCTTTCATGCTAATACACTGCTGTAAAATTTTATGAAACTATTTTGTTAACAGCCAGAAAAACTACACTATAAATTCCCTCTCCCAGGAACAACTTTATCTGGGCACATTATTTAAGAGGTTATAAAAGACACAAGTCCCAGCGATCTGGGCTGACCAATGCAGAGTTTGTGACTGATCAGATTAGATACTTTAGGCTGCACATGCATTAACTTGGAGACAAACAGTGCAAGAGATTTAAGGTCTACTTTACCTGGAACGTTGTACCACTGAGCCCCATTAGTGATTCCATGTGGGAAGTACTCAGTGGGGTACATATCCTTACAAGGGCTTCCCTGATACATCTTTTTATTTTCCTAAAAAACAAGATGCAACATGTGAAGCTCAGTTTGCACTCTCCAGCCACTGGCACTTCAGTTCTAACATTAGTCACACATGTGGGGTTACCAAACACAGAGGTTCATGTAGATGTGTGTTTGTACAGCCGCAGTATAAGCAGACAGCACCCACACCCAACAACCACCCATAGGCATCCTTACTTTCCCGCACCCTCCTCTACCAGGCACCCAGGACCTTCCCGACAGCATCAGGAGTTAACCCAGCCGGATGTGCCTGTTTTCCCATTAGAGCTTTACCTTGGAGTAAGAAAGTGCCAACTGCTGAAACACAGCATCATCTGGGGATTTACTGTATACAGCTATTCCTTGTTCATCATCATCAAAGGGGTAATTAACCACCAGAGAACCTGCGGGGGAAACAAGCTTTGACTCGTACTTGCATGCTTTCCAAGTGATCACCAACCTAATAGGAGAAGCTTTTCTTTTCCTCCACAGAGTGCCAAGCTTTCTGTTTCTCAAGACTTGGCATTAAACAAAGCATTAGGCTCAGTGGATAGAAGAGACAACAAAAGCACAGGAAGAGATAAGACTGCACCCAGTTGAGAAAGTGAACCCAAGCCACCACACATCAAAGGTTTGGCTCTTACATGCAGGAGGGATGAGCACAACCTCAATGATTGCTTTCACAGAAGACAGAAAGCAAGGGGAGGAATTTCCTAGAACATGCACGGTGCCCTTGGCCCAATCGCTGCAGTCTTTCAGCCTTCTGGAGTTTATTGCAAGCACTGTCAAATTATAATATCCTTGACTTAATGAAGCTTTCCCTAATCACGTTGTGCTAATAGCGCCATGGAAGCCCAGACACCATCACTGCTGGAGACCTGCCTGCTCCCTCGTACCACACATGGTATTTCTGCACTATAAAATTAGGTATGTTAGCACAAAGCAACCACCTGCACGTTACCACAGCTACAAGCCAGCAGACAAACTGTCTAGGGAGTAAGCTGTAATACACAGACTTAATTTAGATCATTCCAAAAAGATAATTAAATTACAGCAAATTTCATAATTCTGCCAAGCAATTCAAGGCAGGCAACCCTCAGGACTGCATCTTGCTTCCCTCATTTTATAAATACTATGAAGGTGCCAACAGCCACAGCATTGTATCACATTGACAGACCCAGCTGCTGAGCAGCCGCTGATGAGAATCCACTCTCATCTCCAGCAGGCAGTGAGCTTCTCTCCAACGCACATTCTGCCTTCAGAGAAGTGGTTGGGGTCCTCCCAGCAGCCTCTTCAACTCCCCGCATATGTGCTTGGGAAAACAGTTTTCACCCTCTGTTTCCAGCTTCTGATCCATCTCCCAGCAGCACCAACAATAGGTTTGGTTTACTCTTTGTGTAGGCCCTTTGGAAATGGCCTTACCCCTGTTGCAGGAACCAGGCTGCCTTTTCTCCTGCCACTCCACAGCAAGGCCAAGGGCAGAGAGCTCTCAGAGCTCCTCAGCTCACAGCTAGGACACCACAGAGATAACCCTGCAAATTCCCATCCCTCGAACCTCAGCACAAAGGAAGGAGCTTGGTTTGGCTGCCATACCTCCATGCAGATTTGCCGAGAGCACAAATGGGTAAGTCTTTAACCAGGTCATGACAGCAAGGGTTTCTGGCTGCGGAGGGTCTGCCACATGGACAAACTGATCTGGGAAGTTGCGGTTCAGGTCGTAGTTGTTGCTGTTGTTTCTGCCAACAGTACCTCCTCTGTCTCCTGAAAATTAAACACATGTTCAAGCTTTCACGCTATGCAAGTTTCCACTTCAGTGCAGAGGCTTCATCCTCTTATTAAGGAGCTTACAACTATCAATTGATAGAAAACAGCAGAGAACACAACAGCGCTGGCTTCCTACACCTCAGAGTGATGGGACCCCCACACTCCCCTTCAGTGGAGGCCTGCTCAGGGCACAGTGGTGTCCAGGGGCTCTTTCATCAGGTGTTTGCACAGGCCCTTGGTGCCAGCCAGACCACAGCTAGCAGAAAGGCAGTGAACCATGAACAATTCCAGCAGCCTGATGTCACAACCGCAGAAACCTCAGAGCTCACCTCCTCAAACCAGCTGGACAAGTTTTGTTAAACCCAAGCAGAGCTTTGCTTCCAGAAACTCGCTCTGGACAGATTTTGTTCTGCCAATCTGCAAGAGCCACGCAATTTAAAGGACTTCCCTGAAGGATATTTTCGCCAATTTCAACATCACGATAAAATTCTATATTATCCTTGGACGAATGCTCTGCAGACAGCCTGGCTCCTGCATCACACGTTACTAAGAGCATGGACCAAAGCAGAGCAAGTATGAGCTGTGTCAAAGGAATGTCTTTTTTTAAAATAAGCCTTGGTATAGCTACATAAGGGGACCCAAACAGGGGCAGCATATATATCTGCTGAAGCATAAGAGCTCTCTCCAACAGCTTCAAGCATCAGTCAACTGCCCACACCCTGCAGTGCGGGGTCCACTCACTCATCCCACAGCACGCACCAAGTCCCCTCCCAGCCTCCCTGTGCAGAGAGGGCTCTGCTCCAGCAAGGCTTCCAGACTTCTCAGAGAGGTACCACAAACCCAAAGGCTTCTTCTCAGAGCTAGATACCCCACAGATAGCACTACCTTCCTGGGACTTCTCATAGCCATCAGGGTTCATGGACGGCATGATGTGGATCCGCGTGCTCCGGACCAGGTCAGTCACTTCAGGATCTGTGCCGAAGTTCTTGCAGAGGTACTCGATGAGGTTCAGGAGCAGCTCTCGCCCCACAACTTCATTCCCATGCATGTTACCGATGTATTTGAACTCCGGCTCACCTGTGGACACATGGCCACACCAAAGAGACAATTATAACCACTGCATTAACACTTGGAGACATCTCACCACCCCGAGCATTGCTCTCTCAGGCCTTTCTGCAGGGCTGGAGGGCATTTTCCTAAAATTTACCCCTTTGCTCCCACAACACTGAAAAGGATGAACATTGTTTCAAGAAAGCCCCTTGGTCCTTTGTCCCCAGATCTTCAAGACCAGTGTAGATGTCCACAGCAACACATTAGTGCCACCCACTGCACCCGGCCTTTTTAGAAAAGATGCTGCAAAGGAGCAGCTTAGTGTCTCTTCAGACAGCTGGACACTCCTTTTTCTCTGCCCACAGTCTCCCAATGCAGAGTCTGTCAAATGTGCTTGTCTCTTGCTAAAAAGGATTTCCCACATTACCGGCTTCATGGACACCAGGGTTGTCCGAGATCTCCATTACATAGAGCTCCCGCAGCTCTACCGACTTGCCCACGGAGTAGAGTCGTGTTATGTTGGGGTACTCGTTGGCATATCGCCGCAGAAAGATCTCCATGTCTGAAAAGTGATGGTGGCGGAAGTCCACAGGCTGGACAGGTTGATGGAGAGAAGTTGGGCTTGGGGCCTCTGCCTGCACAGGGGTGGGGGTGATGGTAGAGACAGGAGCAGGCGCTGCTGTGAGTTGTGTGATGTTAGGAGCTGGTGGGATTACAGTTGGCTGCAAGGAGAAATCCACTTCTGTTGCGTCTCCCTCCTTCACCTCGATGTTTTCTCTGGTCACTGGTGTGTAACTGTGAAAAAAGCAGCTGGCTTCAGCAAGAAGGCTCTGCAAAATGGAGACCAAACCCCCTGCAGCCTCTCCACCAAACCCACTGAGATGTTAATAACCATATGACAGATTCACCAGCAACAGGACTCATCCCACTGCCACCAGGCCCAACTACGCTGCTGTCCCTGCTGTGTCACAGAGGCACGAGTTCCTCTTTACGGACTCACCAGGGAAGAAGCCACAGGCATATCCAGGGCTCACCTAGGAGTGAGCTACACATTCACACCCAGACTTGAGACAATACAAACTCTTACTGAGGTGACCCTACTGCCTTTCTCCCTTTGACCAGAAAGTAAGGTGCAAGTTGACACAAACAAACCAAGATGACAAAAATGCTGTGCACCCAACAGCACCCTGCTGCAGCAGGGCATGGGGTGAACAAACACAGCTGCAGCTCTAAGCTGGAGCCCTTTACTGCTGCAGCTTCCAGCCAAGCCCCTTAAATACACGAGATCCTTTTGGGGAAGAAATCAAGTGAAGGAACACAAGCAGTTGGCAGTGTGGGTGCAGGCTGCCACAGAGACATTACCCCATTACAACTGCAGTCACATTGTAGGTCCCAGGCACAAGGAGTCGGTGGTAGTCGCCAAATTTGCCTGCGGTGATGTTATGAGCAATACCAGCAACAACGATGGTCGCGTTCTCCAGGCCAGCTCCACTGATTGCATCCCTGACAAAGCCTTTCACACCAATGTGGACCTGAGGAAAATAGTGCAAGAGCCGAGCTGAAGACAGGTAACATCAGGGGAACAGTGTCCTCATCCACTAATACCCCCTGAGCAGGACAGCTGCCAGGCAGAGACACCCAAGGGCCCACGATTCAGACAGCACTTGGCCAAATGGCAAGGACAGGAACTCCAGCATGCACTGGGAAGGCAGCAAGACCTCAGAGCTGATCCTCCCTAACAAATTCTCCATTTCATTCACCTGGGCACACAACAATATGAACACAGCAGGGTTACTGGCCATACTGAGGGACAAAATGCAGCTGCCTCCCATTCCAGTTTAAACTGTCACCTACTCAACTCATGCATGGGCATCTGGAGACAGCCTGGCAGAGGACTCTGCAAGCCAAGGTCTCAGCAGCGTTGGTGCTTTTGAACATCACTGGAGGTTCATGGCACTGAGGCCATACACGTACTCTGCATTACTTAGTGAGATCTTCACTGATCAGTCCCTCTGCTTAACACTGAGCCCCAGGAAGTCCGTCTGAGCAGGGGGAGGATGTGGGAACTGCGGCAGAACCACAGAGACACACGGCAGCTTTGTAGCCACAGACCTCTGCGCAGCAACTGTAGCAGTTGTGTTACCACACGCAGCAAGCAAAGCCACAAGAGCAACTGAACGCGGTGCTCTCAGCCCACCACGGACACATGGGTTTTACAGCTGCTGCCCCTGCACCCCAGCCCAGCCCGCGTTACCTTCTCAATGAATGCAAGGAGAGAGTCCCGGTTGTTCTCCCACTCCTGCTGAAGCTCTGAGGTCGGCGGGTATTTGCAGCAGGACAGCTCCAATGTAATCTCAAAGCAGTTGGCCCACACATAGTTGTAATCCTGCATTCCACCTGAGAAAATGAGGCAGAGACATGTCCCAAGGGCAGTGCACAGACATCCCACCATAGGATGCACATTTTTCCCTGTCCTTGGCAAAGATACACCTTTTCTGTCCCCCACGGCATCTCACCACAATGCTATCCTCGCTTCAGAGTGAACAACCTAAGGAGTAAAGTCAGATCAGACCATGGTGAGAGCTTGCACTGGGGAAGACTGAACTCTGTTTCCCAGTAACTGGCACACTGGCCCATTCAAGTCAGCTGCAGACAGCAGCACAGCACCTGGAAATTCATATGAGTTCATTTCACTGTGAAGACATTTTCCAGCCACTAGAAATCCTGGATGGCAGGGCAGGCACACCGCAGTCTGAGAGCTTGCGCTGGGGAAGACTGAACTCTCTGTTTCCCAGTAACTGGCACACTGGCCCATTCAAGTCAGCTGCAGACAGCAGCACAGCACCTGGAAATTCATATGGGTTCATTTCACTGTGAAGACATTTTCCAGCCACTAGAAATCCTGGATGGCAGGGCAGGCACACCGCAGTCTGAACATCGCTGCTCTCCAGTCCTTCGCTATGCACTCCAAGCCACCTTTAGATTTGTGAGGTTTTCCTGCAAGAGAGGTTACTCTGCCCTAAATGAGCTTCAGGTCTCTGATACAAAAGAACACCCCAGGCTGTCAACTTGGGAGGTGGCAGCTCAGATTTGCATGTCAAAAGTTTTGAGGACCACCACCAGCTGTTCTCCCAAAAGAACAACTTAGCAAAACTCTAGACAAGATGAGAGCAATGCTTCCCCTCTCTACTTTCTCAGGCTGCTCTTTTCCTCCAGCTCCTTATCTGAAGGTCTCCATTTACTTGATATTTAGAGCAGCCCTGGCAGAAAGTCTGACAAGGCCTGACGTGGTGACAGCACGCAGTGAACTGCAGCAAGTCACCTCCAGGAGACTCCTCTTCATCTGAGGGCAGTGAAATGGCTCTCACTGCTGAGGATTCCTGTGAGCCCACAACAGCCAGGTCCTGCAAGAGGAGAGTAGGACACAGCCGTGTCCACCTGGACAACTCCAACTGGGAAACTTGCTCTTTTCCCTGATCCCTGCATCCCCATCACCAGCCTAAATTAAATTAAGGGTGTGGCAGCACCCGGGGACATCTCACCAGATTAGTGTTCAACTGGCCAAACCTCCATGAGCACCAGAAAACAGGAGTACGCAGAACTGGTACGCAGTACCAGTATTAAGGTCATCTTGCTACCCTTGCCCTTCAGAGAAACCACAGACACTGCTATGAATCAAAGAGGTCACCTTGTTCCAGCGAGTGCCCTGACCCCGTTTGCTGAAGTTTATGTTCAGCCCTCAGCAAGCAAACCTGTTTCTCAAAGAGGAATGAATCACATACAGCAGGACCTGAGGTCTGCAGGTATCAACACTCAGGATCTTGCTGCTGAAGACTGCAGATGTTCAGCCCTCTAAACATTCATGGGAGTCTTCAATAGTAAAAAGGACATTCCAAAACCACCACAAGTCTGTGAAACAGGTTTCAGAATCACCCTGACAAATCCCACTGCATGACTGTAACCAGATGTCATGACCACATGAGAGGATTGTTCCCACCACCACCAGCAAATCAGGCAGTTGTGTCAGCATGGAAAACACACTACACTAAGTTTAATGCATACTGATGGTATCTTCTGGGTTACACAAACTTAGACAGTTACAATCCAAGACAGACTGGCACACCACGGCCTTGGCCACCACTGCCCAGACAGCCCCATCCCAACCTGCACAGCAGCCCAGAGACCTCTGTGCGCTGACCACACGGCTCCCACCAGTGCTGGATGCAGGGGTGCAGGCAATGGCTCTCTTCCAGATGAGCTGAGGAAGTCAAAGGGGCTCTCAAAGCCCATCTGTCACGGAACAGCTCTACCTTTGCCCCACAGGAGGCAGATGCAAATCTCGGGAGAAAGAAAGCAGAAGACAGCCTGTGGCACAGCACCAGCCTGCGGGATGCCAGCGGGCAAGCCTGTAAGAAACACATACTTCATACTCCCACTCTCTGCTTTGCCCACTGAAGCGCTACATTAGTGCTATGCTAATAAACCTCACTTGCTTTGTCTGCACAGTTTCCCAATCATCCACAAGCGAGGGACCCTCCGGGGTGCCAGGCAATTAACCAGCCAGAATGGATCAATACCGTGATGCAAATGAACTACCTGGCATTTGCAGAGGTTGTGTTAATGCACAGCCGGGAAAAGCTATCAGCAGCACTTCACCAAGCAGGGGAGACTTACAATAAACGTGGGGGCTGTGAGCATTCACTGTCCCAAAAGGTCAGGGACCACTGCTCTCAATTCAATAGCCCTGCTGCACGCGGGTAACGCAGAGATGGACTGACAGCATAAAACAGGATTTAAAAGAATAGACCCCTGGGAAGGTATGCGGGACGGTACCACATCAAAGACGTCCCAGTTCCTCTCAATCCTTCTGGGAGCTCACTGCTAGGGGAACACGAAGCTTTTATGGTAACAAATCAAATGTCACTTGCAGGCAGGAGGAGAGCAGCGCAGTTTGTGCACGCGCTGAGATCAAAACAGGAAAGAGACTTTTCTGTCCAGCGCAAGGGGCCAAAAACTGAGGACTTTAAAACTCTCCAACTCAGTTCAAGAGGTTAAAGGAACAAGGGCTGCGAATCTGATGCATACTTGGTTTTATTCAGCCCTGTTACCAGGCTCAGAAAAGTAACCCACAGCAGGCTGCTCGCTCGCCAGTAAACACCACGCAGAGTGAAACAATTTGCCAGCCTATAACCATCTGTTCATAGCAGGACACTAATGCATTTGAAAACATCCACACGTGAACCAGAGCCATTATGAAACATATTTAGTGCTTCATCTGCCGCTCAAGCAAATTTAGGACAGATGCTCACTCATAATAGAGCAGCAACGGACTAAATTAGAGCTTGCTACATCAATTTTGGTAAAACTGTCTCTTCAAGAAAGTAGTCCACTGCACGCTTGAAAATTTGGATTGTATATGCTGCACATATTTGGCCTTCACACAGCCCCGTTGCAGAGCAGGACAGTTATTTTTACAGCATATGAAATGACGTATTTTTCCATATACCATCTGCACAGCCTCTCCTGGCTACGCAGAGGATCTGGAGGTGTAAAGAGAGAGCGGTGCACAGCTCAGCACTAGCAGAGCACTACACTCAAGGAGCAGAGCAGAAAAGCAAACTGAAGGCAGCAGGCTGTCAGACTACAGTGCTTCTACTCTACCTGCCTGTTTGGGCAGTATCTGAGATAACTTTTGCTGGATTTATTCCAGCATTTTTTAACAACAGGGTCTTTTAGCCCATGCTGCGCAAGACTTCAGCCTCCCAGTGCAGCATCATACCTAATTTACTGGTGAGTGAAGCATAGCAAATTGAGCAGCTTTCACCCACAGCAAGCCAGTCCCTGGCTGGCAGCAGATGCCAAAAATGCTCAGAACAAACCTCTCCCCTGCTCCGTCCCGCTCCTTGAGCACCAGGACTGCGCTTCAGGCGAGGATCCCAGCCCAAGCAGCACAGGGCTCCCACTGCCAAGCTCCACACCAGGCAGGCAAGCAGGAAAACACAGCTCTCGAGTCCAGCCTGGGGATCCAGATACCATACATACACCACGTGCCAGCAGGAGCCTTCCAGGCCAGCCAGCAATGACTCCATTTTCAACTGCACTACACAGAAACCTCTCTAATTCCAGCTCTCACTGGAGCAGACGCTGGGAGGTAACATCCCTGCAGCTAAGTCAAAGCAGAGAAATGGTCCTGTCTGCTCTCCAGAGAGCCGATGGCACAAACCAAGGCAGAAATGGGATTAAATACATGGTACAAGTCGCTTACTCTGGGGACAGAAGCGACTGTGTTGTAGCATGAGACTGGGGTGAGCACCAGCACCAAACAGGCTGGGGAACATTTTGGTCCTTTGCTCTACGATCCTTAAAACTCAGCGAGGGTGAGGTTTGAGCCTCCAACTCCAGCAGCTGCATCACAGCCCAGAGCAACACAGCCCTGCAGCCTTCCCAGGGCTCTCTCACAGGGGAGGGCAGAGCCTTCCCAAGGGCTGCACCAGCACAGCACCGCTCAGCAGCTCACCTCAGACATGAAAAGAGGCATCAGACCCTTGAACCATCAAGCCAATGCTTTTCTCAAGAAGGAAGAAAAACTTGCAATAAGAATTTTATGAAAACACAAAATGCATAAGGGCAGCTAACTGTGGATAGCCCAGAAAGACATGGCTGAGATCTCCACCAGAGCTCACACTGCATAACCGCTGTGTGCCCTGCCCAGGAAACAGAGGCCACCACAGAGATGCCATGGGCACACACTGTTCTCAGCCCTCCTTTTAATTGCTCTGAGTGTGGTGCCACTAAAAGCCATGCACCAGCTCAATGTGGCTAGTAACCATGGCCAAAACAACCCGGTAAGCACACACGTAACCTAAATCCACTTTCAACCTGAGAAAAGAATTCCAGTCGACACCAGAGACACCTCAAACATCACCGTCAGACTTGCAAGGCAAGCGACTTTCAGGAAGGGACTGCAAATAATGAGAAGACCTTCCAAGGCTCCCCCAAAATACCCTATTGAATGTGACGTTGAATTCAACTTCTGAATTGACTCTTTACAAAATAAAGGCAAGCACGTCCTTCCCACAGATGACTTAAGTGATTTCTTAACCACCTTCCAAGCATCACCTGGACCACACACCAGCCCAGACTTGCATGTATTTTCTTGATCTGAGTCAGCCACTCAGCAGTTAAAACCCCCAGAGGTTAGAAAGGAAGGAAGAGTAAGAGCATGTACGACAGAGATAGCCTCCAAAAACTGTCCCCGTCGTGCTTATCTATAGCAGCTGGAATGCAGAAGCCAAATTCAGGCGTCTGGCGGACAGCCATCGTTCTCTGTGCACGCTTGACCTTAAAAATTACTCCAGTGGTTTGTGCTTGCCACCTCGGCTTGACACACGTAAGAGGTTGTTTGCAAACTCAAATGAAAGTTAATGGGGTCTGACACCTGAACTGGTAACTCTGGGACAATGAATCCCATAGCAGTTGGCTTTCCAGTATGTTTGATTTCACACGATAAAATGTGGCAGGAAAATTTCCACCTGTTGAGACATTATGTTCTCATTTCTGTTTTTCCTGGCTTTCGTTCACTTGGAGCCCGCAGTCCCTGCTGGCACAACCCGATCCACAGGCCACAAGCACCATCCACCGAACCATGAGCTCTGGTTAGATCTAGAGCTCAGCCCAGCCCAGAGAGCCCCCGCAGGGCACTGGGATTTCCCCAGTCCCATTTCACCACACATTTAAATTCTGCAGTCACTGGGAAAAGCCTCCTGGTGCGAGCACAAGCCCCAGCAGTCCCCGGCGCAGAGCCAATGACTCAATACAGCCACCGTGGTGGTTTTGCTGCTTCTGTCACACATGGCGTATAATTGACTCCCCTTTGCCCTGCTCTTCATCCACTACTAGAAGTAAATGGTAACACCTACAACCCCAAAGGGACACAGTAACTTCACGCATCAAAATACACATATGCTGGCCTCTGCGGTATCTGACAGTTCACTCGTGCCCTTCCCTGGATCTCAACTCCCATGGGTTACACTTTCCATGAACTCCTCAGCCTGGGAGGTGCTCCAAGGGCTGCCATCACCCTCCACGTGCGCATCTTCAACAGCAATAAGATGTAAACTACCACTTCCGGGAGAAAACACACAGGACTGCCAACCTCAGCCACGCTCCATGCTGAGTGTTAGTGTCAGTGCACCCTCTCTATAACCTCTGCCTGTGAATCCCCTGCACAGCTGGGCCTAAGACAGTGGCTTGTCACAGCAGAAGGGTTTATATCTGCAGAGGTTGGAAGCTGGAGGCTATTGGACAGACCATAAACCACAGCGATGGCAGCACAGAGCACACAGGTCTTCAGTTCACACCTTGCCATTTCCTGTGAAAGGAAAGTAGGTGAAACCTCTGCTCTGCTCACTGACAAGGCAAAGGCAGCCCAAAAGGTTCGTGTATTGGTGCCACAGCCTCTAGCAAACCTTGTACTGGCTGAGTGTCTCACATCCGAGCAGGAGGATGAAGAAGCAGCAAAAACGCTGCTCACCATGGGCAGGGGAACCCAGGTTCTCCCCAAAGCTCTCCCCTCCAAGCACACCCACCCTACCTTATTACAAGGTCAGAAAACCTTACAGCTGCAGCTGACAAACCTCCCCATTCAGATGTTTGCTGATAGCGACTGCCACCAGAACACGGCAGCACAGATCATCCAGGATATCCTGTTCCCTCATAAGCAAATTTGCCAGATTACACAAACCTTCCTCCTGCCAGACCTTTCACAGCAGCAGGTGAACCTTGAGCCAGCAAACACCAGGGCTGGTGTGTGTGACAGGGCGGAGGGAAGAACGCAGCTGCTAGGGAAAAGCATCTTATTTGAACACAACATCTTACTTGACCAGTGAAAACCTGGAGAATGATTCAGTCACCACTGAAATCCAAACTTCCTCTTCCAGCACACAGGTGATGTGTTCAGGCACAATATTGTATCCCTCTGCCTCCTTCCCAAGCAAGGGGCACGCAGGGTTAACACAGAACTCTGCTCTGAAGCCCATGTTTTGGAAAGACATAGCCTTATTACAATTTATTAAGCTGTAGGCTCTGACGGATAAACAACGTGCGATGTCACTGCTTGCTCAGCTCTCCTGCCATCAGCCCTCAGCCCCAGCGTGAGGGAAAGCAGAGCTGCGCAGGCACAGAGCAATGCAACTTCTTCAGGTCATTTGTGCAGGGTTTTTGTTGTGTCCTCACCACAGAGGTTCCTGCGCTGTCTGGCAAGGCCGTGGTTGTACAACATCCGCCGAGAGGGCACGGCGATGGTGTAACAACTTCTAATGACACAGCCAAGATTTCTCTTCCCGACAGCCCACAGAACCTTTTCCACAAGAGCATCTTGCCACACAAGCTGTCCTTTAAATCTCGTTTTTAGCAAAACCAACACACACAGCGCAAGCTCATGGCCAGGCCAGCCACCTCCACACAAGCAGAGTGATGGCACCCGGAAGTTAATTTGCTTATATCCAGATCAACTCCCAGCACAGCTGCCTAACGGAGGGAACAGGAGCTCTCCTAGAAGCCTTAGCAGACCAAATTCTGGATCCTTTCTTGACCCCATCGCACTGGTGGACGAGAACAGGCCGTGCTGTTGTCACCCTCTGCACAGGTCTAACAGCAGAGCAGCTCATAGGAAAGCTCCATACCTCACTTGCAGCGAGAGCAGCTCCATTAGCTCAGATCACATATTTAAATCCTTTCACACAGCTTTACAGCAGGCTATTCTATAATCATTTAAAAATTACAAGTTTAGAGGTTAAAAACCCCACACAGAATACTGGCATTGATTTAATACCTATAACAATAGTTTCCTCTTTCCTCAATCAAAATTTAGTAACCACCTGGAGACCTAATGACAGTTCCTTTGGCAAATGAAGCCTCCCACATGCAGGATAACTCTCCAGCACCTACCAGGGTCAGGAAGAACCCTCCGGTTTGCTGTGATCTATTCCCTGCAAACATCTCCCAAGCTGTGATTCATCACGCACTTACTGGTGCGCCTGTGATGCCACTTCCCTGCATTTCAAGCTGCTAAAATACATTCAAAGCTAAAAATACCACTTCACCCCCTCCCCCGGCCTTTCCTCTGTGATAATCACCACCGGTTTGGATGTCACTTCTCAGCAGCAGCAAGACACTGACTGTGTTAGGTGAACTAGCAGAGCGAGGGCGATTCACCAGCACAGCTCACCTTCCACATCGTACCACTGCGCGCCGTTTGTGATACCATCTTGGAACGTCTCTCCCTCCTCGCCAGGGCAGTTGGGTTTGCCAGTTCTCATGATGGGGTGATGTGACGCGTAAGCTTTGGCCAAATATTTGAACACTTCATCGTCGGCTGATTTACTGTAGACTCCTGTGGGCTTATGCGTGGGAGAGTCATCATAGGGATAGCTTGCAACCACTGAGCCACCGTGAAGATTGCCAGAGAGCAGAAACCTGGGGTTGGGAAGGAGGAAAAGAAGCGAGAGTCATGTTGGAATAATTTCAACAGGAAGCTGGCTACAGCTGCCTAACCAGTTATTCTGCTGCCTTCCGACCCAAATCGTGTTCTCTGGAGCCTCCAAACTCTATTTGGGATCAATGAGGCAAACGGTGCCCATCAGACAAGGTGCCCAGCAGTAACGCCACTCTGGAAGAGGAAGCGATCGGACCCTGCGCCGTCAGCCCCATGCAGGGACAACACCTGTGGAGCTGCAGCTACACCAAGGTTATGTTAACAGATACCTGCCCATCCAACACCGAGTGGGCTACTGTGGGACAAAAAGTCCTGGGAGATGCATCCCATCGTGTTAACAGCAGCCTCCAACACAGCGAGCAGGACTGTCAGAGGGTCTGA